AAAAAAAAAAAAAAAAAAGTTTTGTAATGTTACTAAGCATTATGCAGCAGCCAGACTTCTTAATAAAATGCTTAAATTAATTCAAGATCTCAGTAAAGACATATAACTCTGAAATTTTGTTTTAAGGATACCAGTTAGTAGCCATAATTAACTGCTTTCATGTAGTAGTCCTTAGTTATATGTTAAATAATTTGCCATGATTTTAAGGAACCCAAAAAAAAGGATTGCAGTTTAAGATTTTTTTTTCTTTTTCTTTCTTTTTTTTTTTTAGGCAGACTCTTGCTCTGTCACCCAGGCTGGAGTGCAGTGGCACAATCTTGGCTCACTGCAACCTCCGCCTTCTGGGTTCAAGCAGTTCTCTGCCTCACCCTCCTGAGCAGCTGGAATTACAGGCACCCGCCACCACATCCAGCTGATTTTTGTATTTTTAGTAGAGACGGGGTTTCATCGTCTTGGCCGGGCCGGTCTTGAACCTTGTGATCCACCTCCTTTGGCCTCCCAAAGTGCTGGGATTACAGGCGCAAGCCACCACGCCTGGCCAGTGTAAGATTATTTTAAGGCTAGGTGCAGTGACTCACGCCTGTAATCCCAACACTTTGGGAAGCTGAGGTTGGCGGATCACTTAAGGCCAAAAGTTCAAGGCCAGCCTGGCCAACGTGGAGAAATCCTGTCTCTAGTAAAAATGCAAAAAGAAAATTAGCCAGGCATGTTGGCAAATGTTACTGAGTAGTCCCAGCTACTGAGGCACAAGAATCACTTGAACCTGCAGGCACAGGTTGCAGTGAGCCAAGGTCACGCCACTGCACTTCAGCCTGGGTGACAGAGTAAGACTCTGTCTCAAAAAAAAAAGATCATTTGAGGCCTTAAAGAGCCCCTCTTTGACTCGCTCTGAGAATCACTGCCCTGCAGAATGACTCAAGAAATTCTCTTATCTAATTATAACAATTGTTTTAAGCCACGAAGTTGGGGGAGTTAAGTGGTCCAGTAGGGTCTTGAGTAGCTCACAGCCTAGCCACCATTACAGGATAAAATTCACCTTCATGTTCTAGCTCCCTTTCTAGTCAGCCATCTAAAGGAATGGTTGGCTCACTTTACCTTTCCGCCCTCAAACAGCTAATTAATTTCAAAGATTGCATCCAGCTCTAAATTCAGCAATTCTCCTAATCTTGGGGCCACATTGTTAACACAAAAGCCTGGTGAATAGATATTAACTTCCAGGCATTAAGAATAGCAGGTTGGCGGAGTACGGTGGCTCATGTCTGTAACCCCAGCACTTTGGGAAGCTGAGGTGGGTGAATCTCTTGAATTAGGAGTTCAAGACCAGCCTGGGCACCATGGCGAGACTGTCTCTACGAAAACATATAAAATAATTAGCTAGCTGTGGTGGCATGTGCCTGTAGTCTCAGCTACTTGGGATGCTGAGGAGGGAAGATCGCTTGAGCCGAGGAGGTTGAGGCAGCAGTGAGCCGTGATTATGCCACTGTATTCCAGCCTGGTTGACAGAGCCAGACCATGTCTCAAAAAAAAAAAAAGAAGAAGAAGAATATCAAGTTGCTGGCTTCTAGGAGGATATGAGGAGAGCACTGGTCTTTATTCATCACAGGGAGGATCCTTCTGGGTGATATTACTACTTACAGGTTTCACGTAAGAATGAAGATCAATCCTATGATGTCTTCCAGTTTTATTGTCACCACTAGTTTCCATAAGACTGAGCCATCCCTAGTGTTGGCTGGTGGCTGCTCAGTGCTATACTTCAGGCTGCCTCCCCACTCTTCCTCTGTAGGCTGGCTAATGACTCCATCCTGTATTAAAGATGAAAGAAGATGTTGGCTTTATCCAAAAAGGGCTATAATTATGTTCTGGAGCAACCTCCTGGAAGTAAAAATAGTCCTCTCATCGTATGCACAGAGTTCCTCTGCTCCTATGAAGACAAAGGTGTTTTTGGATTGGTTTTTTTTTTTAATCCTGTCAGAGAAACTGGGAATCAGAAAAAAAAGCTGTCGGTACCCTATTGGAGATTCTTTCTGATGTTCTTTATTATGATGCCACTGTGGGCCTAGTTGGATCTCTGCTTTGGTTGCATTTATCTTCTACTGTCCAAATTAAGGAATGTGGTATTTCCCTTTGTGTTCAGTGTACAGCATAGATTGGAGGAGCATGGGAAACTCCTTTTTAAACAGTAACCATTATCCCCCTTGGTGTGAGGGCATTGTGGCAAGTCTCCATCATACCACTGTGTAAAATGGTCTCAAAACACTAGTTGACTCAAGCAAGTCAGCACTATCACTTTTTCCTTCCTAAGACTTCACAAGGCATATTCAACCACCATACTTTATGAGAATTATCAGGACACCATTTATGTAATATAGATTTTCTTACTATATTAATTGGATTTATTGGATGGTTTTCCATGAAGCCCGCCCTGTTAGGGGACTTTTAAACAGGAGTTAGCTAATTAAATGTTACCTTGTGTTTTAGAGCTTCCTTTGCTGGGAAGGGGTCAGTGATGAAAACATGTTTGATTGCTAGCAGGATATATGGTGCTTTTTTTGTTTGTTTGTCTTTCCACTGTTTTCTAAATGTTTTCTTCCCTTTTGAGGTGCCCACGGTCTTCAGATGATGAGCGAAAGCATCCTGTCCTCTGTCTTTTCTGTGGGGCCATACTATGTTCTCAGAACATTTGCTGCCAAGAAGTCGTGAATGGCGAAGAGGTTGGAGCTTGCATTTTTCACGCACTTCACTGTGGTGCCGGCGTCTGTATTTTCCTAAAGTGAGTAGTGAGTGTTCTAGAAGCTTCATGATGAACTTAAGGAATCTGGATCCAATCTGGGGACCACTATGGTGGGACAGTGTGTTGATAGCAGATGATCTATCAGAAATTAGAGTGTTAACCTGTTATTCACATGAAATTGCATTTGAGGCCGGGTGTGGTGGCTCACTCCTGTAATCCAAGCACTTTTGGAGGCCAAGGCAGGTGTTGGGAGTTCAAGACCAGCCTGAGGTTGGCAGTTCAAGACCAGCCTGGCCAACATGGTGAAACCCAGTCTTTAAAAAAAAAAAAAAAAAAAAAGAGAGAGATTGCATTTGAGAAGATACTGTGGGAAAAGTAGTGAAAGAAGAATAGATTTCTATTCACATTTCCATTATTTGTGGAAAATCTTAAATAGGATAGAGTTTGTATTAATTACTGTTGTCTTTTAATATAATACTCAGGTGTAATGAAAGAACTTGTAGTCCTAAAACTTATATTTATTTATTTATTT